GGGAAACAAAATTAACCAAATTATATTATTATATGCCTTGTGCATGTATGAATATGTAATAAGAAATAACAAGGAACTATGGTTATAGTTCAGTGGTAGAGCACTTGCCTAGCAAATGTGAGGCAATGGATTCGATTCTCAGCACCACATAAAAAAATAGATAAAATAAAGATATTGTGTCCATCTTCAATTTAAAAAAGAAAAGTTTTAAATAACAAATCTATTATGCATAGTGCACCAATAAAAATGTGGAAAAATAAATAAAGAAAACATTACAACCTCCAGGTTCACTAAAAAAAAGGGTTTTTTCCTTCTTTGGCCAGGCCAATAGTAAACTTTATTCTTGGACTCAACACCCTGCAGCTGCCTGCTATACCCAAATACAAACACACACAGAGAAAACATTAAACTTCCCTACCCAAGAGTATTCTGGAAGTCACAGGCTCTAAACAAAAACTAAAAGATACAGATCAGGAAGTGCAGGATGGAACAAAAGTGCAGCTACCCGATTTTCTGACTGAGACAGGCCTTGTACTTCTGAACCAAGGGCTGCCTGTGGAGAAGGACTCAGGGTCTCGAACCTTCATGGCAGGATCAGCTCTGCCAACATCAGCCTCTAACTGCATTTTCCAGTGCAGTTCTTAGCCTTTCAGTTTGAAGAAATCTTGACAATGGGTCAAGTAGTACTAGTTTTTGATGATGTGAATGTGCAAATGTTTAATTTTTATTTTAAGTACTGTAGTAGAAAGTTGAGGTTACTCTTCAAATACCTGTTAAGAAGTCACAAAGGTGGGAATAAGTTGTGATTGTTAAGAATCACAGGACCTTTTGTTGCAAGGGTCCTTAAAAGTATTTCAATTCAGCCTTCTCAACTCTAAAGTAACACTAAGGGGTCCTCAGGCCCATGCTTGACTCCCTCTAGTGATCTGGAACTCATTACTTAGTAAAACAATTCACTTTGTTTTTACAGAATTCTAATTTTTAGAATGTTATATTTTATACTGAAGCAAATATTTAACTCTATGTACTTTTTAATCACAGAGTCCTAATTCTCTGGAATAATCCTAACATTTCTTCCAAGAAGGAACTTTCAAGGGATAGTCCTTTTTTCTCAACAGAGAGACTTCCAAATACAGTAGTATTATACCACTTCCCATGCTGTCTTTTACAGTTGTTCCTAAGGATAAACTAGCAGAACCTTGATTAAATCTAAATATGCACACTAAGCTAGCTATTCAATACTCTGAAGTGAATACTACCACTTGCAACAATGGTAAATACACTCTTGGTCAGCATCCTTATTTACAGAATAGAAAACAGAACATCTTCAACCTACTACATATATTCTTTTCCACAGCTCCTAGAACCCCTGATTAATGACCTCCACTTGCAAAGGAGGCTACTTACCTTAACCATGAAATAATGAATGTTATTGATCCAACAAGCTACTGCTATAGAGTGTTATTGATCACCCAATCTTTGGTTAAAATGGTCCTCATTTAGCAATTTCACTGTCACAAACACCTGGAGCAAAGCATACTCATAATTAAAGAGTTTGGGGGAGTTCAAGTGAGAGGTGATAGACAGAGATCTCAGCTTTCTCCCATTTATTCTTGCTTCTGAGCTATTGTTTGTGTCAGAAAGGATATTGATTTTCTATAAAAATAAGAAAACAAGAGGCACCAAGGGGCCGCAGAAGGTCAGCTTGGGCTGCCGAAGGAGGGGGGAGGTTTAGCACTCTATCTCTGTCACTTGCCTTCCAAGAGAAGGGAATATTTTCTTTCCTGTGAGATAGGCCTCTAATACATCACCTAAGAAAGGCTTCTGAATGTGACTTCAGGCATCACCCAACCAATGCGCTTATAAAAGAAAAAGAAGGTAAACTATATTTAAGGAAAACAAACAAATAATATGTTAGTGAAGAAAGAAAAAATTAGATTTCAGGCATCTAATTAATAGGTGCTATACAGACAATTTGAATAAGGATTAGTAAAAAATACATTTATAAGAGTCATCCCATTTTAAAGTATTCACAAACATAAATACACAAAGATTCAATAGATTGTAATTTGATCTTTATACAAACATTAAAAAAAAACCTATTATATCATAACTGAGTTCCTCAAAACCCATGAAGGATTAGTTGGTATAGAATTGAAGGGAGATCAGAAAAGTAAATACATCAGAAAGTAAATACAGAAAAGTAAATACATCAAATATCCCAAACTTTATACATAAACTTAAAACTACTCTGTTTAGTTCGCAAAAACAGAATTTAAAGGAATCAGAAATAAGCTGATTAAGATGGACATTTTCATATCTAAAGCACCTAATATATTTTTTTGAAAACTCTAACTACTGATCAAGCTAAGGCTAATCTTAATGATTAACCTCATCTTAATAATTCTACAAAATGGATGGTGACTCTGACAACTCTCAACATCACTGATAAAAAGCAAAGTTTTACACTTTGATCTATATGTAAATAAACTGTGGCACATCTAAGCAGATTTATTAAAGAATAAGCAAGAGGGTTCTTGAAAGTATTTCTTTTAATGCAAGAGAAAGAAAGTAGGAAATTTTTGACAGAATCAACTCATCAAGAGAGAATAATCATATCCAAATCATAAACTATTATCTACTTTACGTTCTAAAGCTAGTCCTGTTTAGCTGGGCTGGGAATGTAGCTCAGTGGTACAGCACTTGCCTAGCATGCACAAAACCCTGAGTTTAATCTTCAGCATCACAAAAAATAAAAAATAATAATAACTGAGCTTAAAAATGAAAAGATTTTAGCTCCACTTTACTACTGAATAAAAGCTGAACATCATAAGAAATCAAAGAATAAAAAAGGATGACCCCTCTTTCCTTACAGAATGGATTCAGGGGGAAAAAATACAAAGCACTTCTGTTTTTGTAACTACAGATAAAAGGGGAAATTTGGGCATCTTAAATAATTAGAAGATTTAAAAAACTTTTTCTCAGATCATGTCTGCTGTAACTCTGCCCATTATTCCTTCACAGCTACGAGCACTCGGGCATCTGTATTACTGAAAGAACTCTGAAGTCACGGACCACGGAGATAGCCCAAATGGGAGAATGAGTTCTCCTTAATTTGAAGACAGTTAAGAATTTCATAAGAACTCCTGTCTACTTCAATTTCTCCAGCTCTCAGATGACTAGAATTTATATCATCACAACCTGACCACAATTGATGGTCTAGGTTCAGAGAAAGAAAGACAGAAGTAACAGTAAGACCACAGGCTCTGCATTTGGAGCTATATATCTTAGAGTAGACAGTTAAAAGTATCTAACATATACAATTATTTCACAGTTTAACAAGAAATTCGAATAGCCAAGAGACTATTTTTTTTAAACTACCATTTTCTTTTTTTTGCAGCACTGGAGTAAAACTGCCATTTAGTAACAAGATTATAAGCTATATATGCTTCATATTAAAACAAACTTGAATATCTCAACAGAGAGTTTCAGTATCATGAAAGGATAGAAGTTGACTAAGCAGTTCTTGTTTGATTAAAAATGGCATGATAAGTCAAGCGCAGAGGCACAGGCCTGTATTCCCAGCTTATCTGAGAAAACTGAGGCAGGAGGACAAGCAAGTTTGAAGCCAGCCTGGATAACTTAGCAGACCCTGTGTCAAAATAAAAAGAGCTAGAGATGTAGCTCAGCAGAAGAGCACTTGTCTAGCAAGGGTGAGGCCCTGGGTTCAAATTCTCAGGAGAAAAAACAAAAGGCATGATGAGGAAGAAAAATACCTTTATAATCCAAAAATATACATCTGTTGAGTAAGCAGACCTAAAAACAAATTAGGCTTAGAGGAAAATGAAGAAAGCCAAACCAGGAGCCCATCTCAATATAGTTGAATAGACTGACAAATATAAAGTTAGGAAAAGTTTAAAAGCTGGATCAAAACCACCCATAAAACATGGAGACAGACCTACATAGCTTATCCTGTTACCAACACAGCCTAACCTCAAGGTACACCTAAGATTTATGTCTTTGTTTTTAAGACAAACTTCAGAAGCCAAGTCCTAAGAAAGGTCATATGTTCTACAGTTATAAAAGTTAAGATGAGACAGAAAAGGGTCATGGAAAAGGCACAAACTCAGAGGGCCACAAAACATGGTGAAATATGAGCTTTGAAATCAGGTTTGATTCTCCATTTTGGCACGGGGTGACCTTGAACAAATTATCTAAACTCTTAATCTCAGTTTCCTCTTCCATAAAATACAAATAGTGCAATTTTACTATACAGTAGAACTATAAACATTAAATAGGAATATTAACAAAGCATATAGCACAGTGCCTGCCACACACAGTTATTGCCTAGTAAATGTTAACCAATATTAATAAGAATAGAAACAGTCTCAACCTGGAGAACTCAACTCATTTGGGTTGATACAATGAAGATTGGAAGGACCAAAGTAGGGATGCTAAATATCCTGCAGTGCACCACAAAGAACTGTCACTCCCAAAGGCCAGTAGCATTTCTTGCTGAGAAACAGATATCACAAATTAATATTAAAGCTGGAGAGTATTAATGTTCCTACAACTATCTGAAATATAGAAAAATTAAAAGTTATCCAAAACCACACCAACATTTTAAGCATGCACCCGCTGGAGACAAATTTCTCTGGCTTGACAAATTTGGTCTAAGACAAATGGGACTGAACACTGTTATTTTTAAAGCCCACCATATGTTCAGACAACTTGAACATCTGCTATAAAAAATATACTCAATATAGTCAAATTGTAAGTAGCAGAGCATAGAAATACACCTCAAGAGTACCTAAAACCATAATTTTTAAAGGGGAAAAGCATCATACCAGGAACATTTATTAACTGCATATGCCCGGCACCTGTGCATTTTCCCACACACACGTACACACTCCAGCCTCTGCTGAGACTGTGGTGCAACAGGACAGTATCTACGTATGAACTATGTGGCATAAACAGCATCCATGCAAGGGAGATCTCACCATTCCGACATGTTCTCATCAGAGCCCTGTTTTTGTTCATCTGCTTCACACTCCATTCTTTCTTTCCTTCCTGTTTTGCTTAGGAAAGTCCTGTTTTCTGCTGATTCACACAACCCATGGCCTGATGAGGTCCAGGGAGTATTCTCCTTCCAGCGGGACAGACGCTGCTTCTTAGCAGACTTGAACCTACAGCCTCTCTCATAGCTCCAATCTGATACCTTCAACTTCTGCTGAAGGCTGGCAGCCACCTCTGATGTCACTCGTTTCACCTTCCGCCGGCGCCTGAGTGGTCGACAAGGTGCATTTTCAGTAAAGGAGTCAGATTCATGCCAAGAATGTTGCTTACTCTTAACCAGGGCATTGAGAGCTGGGTGCCGTTTGGCTACCATTGTGTCATCAGAGTCACTGAAATTGGTGACTGGGGCCACTTCTCGACAATCCTTAATGGCCTCATCCAGACTTGATTCAGAGGCCTCACTGTAGCAGCAAGTATGTTCTGCCAGGTGAGTAAAGTCAGACCTGCGTTTCCGGCCCCGGCGCTTCCGAAGCTGCCGCCTTTGCTGCCGAGGGCTCAGGGCCATTTCCTCCCACAGCTCACCAAGTTTATTCTGCTCAGATGTCTGCTCCAAGGCTGAGGCTAAGTCATGTACCAGCTCATCCATGAGGCCACATCTGCCAAAAAAAAAAAAAAAGTTCAAAATTGAAAAAAATGAAAAGAAAAAAACACCTGAATAGGCTCTGTTGTTTTCAAATAATTTTATAAAACAGATTACAGCAATTCAGAGTCCAATCTATCTATAAAAAATAAAGACACCTTTTACTAACTACATGTAAGACTCTGTTCTTACCATTCATGACCCATTAAGGCATTAAAAATGGGTGTTTGTTTTTGTTAAATGTCAAGTTAACATTTCCTTAATTTCAAAAACTCAACTACTCACCAGATAGCAACCTGGATATTAGCAAAAACAAGCAAACTCTCTTTCTCCTTTCTCCCCAACTAAATTTGTCAGTGAATTATCTGTTGAAAAGACCCAAAAAGATTAAAAATGTTTCATCAGATAGGAATAGAACAGACAACTTTAAAACCATGGTAGAGATGGGAGAACAAGGGTGGGACCCAGTGACACCAAGATATTGATAATGGATATAGGACTACTCTGTGGTCTGGGATCACTGCTGAGAATGCATGTGGCAGGAATAAAGAGAGAACTTGGGGACACACTTCAAGGAAAACTGCTTGCAGTTTTAGTGATTCAAGAATTTGTAGCAACCCAGTTTTGTAGTCAGAACAGAAAGAAGAGCCATCTGGAAGCTACTGGGTACAAAACCTTACAGATGTCATTATTATTTTTTGATACTTAGAAACTTTTAGGCTCCATTCCCCAACCTGATCATCCTAATTATGTACTTTAATGCCACATAATCACACAAAAATAGGAAATAAATGAAAAATGAAATGACAGGGATGGGACAGAGTCTCTTCAAATTTTTAACTAACTGCTTTCCAAAATTTCCTAGTTTTCTACTCATTCTTGTCAAACTATCAGGCAAATCTTTGAAGGGATGAGAGTAGCAGAGGCAATTTTCAAAACTGCCTCATAAAAGGAAATGTCCAATATAATCTGTACAATACCTAAAATATATATATATATATATATATATATATATATATGCGCTAAATTAGCACTTTCTCCCTAGCCCTTGTTAAGCCCAAAGTATTTCAAGACCATAATTAGAGCTTAAAACTGTGTGGCACCACTCTCAGACCATATTTCCGTTCATGCAGTTTATATTTTGCAAAGGGCTTTCTAAAACCTACTCTCACTCTGTTCCTATTTGGACAAATGGCCAAAGAATTCAAAGGCAGGAAAAGTCTTCTGGCTTATGCGACACAACTTGGGAGGAAGGAGACAACTAGTTTCAAAAGTACCACCCAAACAAAACTTCTTAAAGTGTCAAAAGCCACACATATATAAAGGCCATATCCTTTTAAGCAATAAGTTGTTTTAAATGGCATGATAGGGATTTGGAAGACAACTGTTCCTAACATAGATACAGATATAGATATATAAAATAGATAAACAAGTGGGAAAAGCACATCTAAATCTCGTTCCCCAATAAAGGGCTACTGCTTTAAAAACAGGCAGAACTGAGTAAACAAACGTGGAATGAAAGTACCAAAGTAGTCAAATGCTTGTGCAGAATCCCACCCTACCTCAAAAACTGCAATTGGAACGCAGGTGATAGAAGAGAGACTCCCACACCTCCAATCGCTCTGGGATGCCCGAGACGACCCGGAGTCCAGGCACGCCCCGGAGGAGAAGCAAGCCGTCCAAATCACACATAGGAAGCTAGTGGACAGCAAGTCAGAAGAGGGCCAAGCGCTGAGTCCAAGGGGTGGGAGGTTGAGAGGTAACTTCTCATTTGTACCTAGGACAAGGGAGTCAGCCCTTCAAAGGCAAAAACTGCCAAACAGCAACTGCTGGTGACGGGGCTCCCTCCGAGTTCGAGGGCCGCAAAAGGACCATATATGTGTGAAAAACCGTGTTTAGAAGGATTCCCCACCATCCCCGCCCGGCCCCGCGGGCTGGGGCGACCACGGCTAAGAACACAACGCCCACGCTGTTGCCGACCCAAAAGAAACAGAGAGAGGAGAGACGGAAACTGTTGCCCTGGAGGCCGCCCGACCCTCATCGCCTGGGATGGGGGAGACAGGCCCTGAAAAACAAGGCCCCACCACCCACGTCGCTCCCGCCAGCCACCGCGGCCCCCTGGCGCCCTTTGCCGCCCAGCCGCATCCTAGAGTGCTGATCCCCTCTGTCGCTGGCCCTGGACCCCAACCCTCTCAACCCACGCCTCCCCCTCACCGGCTGCCACGGCCACCTCCAAAGGGCGCCGCTTTTCGGGCCAAGTCTCCCCCGCCGGGGTTTCCCTCTCTGACCTCATTTCCGGTCTGGGCCGGAGGGGTGGGGCAGTGGCAGAGTGGGAGGGGCTAGTTGCTAAAGGGCCCGCCCAGAACCAGCGCTTCCGTCCCGCGGCCTCTCCCACTTCCGCCCCTCGGTGGGCGGGGCCACGGGGAAGCTGGGAAGTGGGGCAGGAAGCAAAGAAAGGAGCAAGTAGGGTTAGCTGGATGGCCAGGCGAGGCAGAGCGGGGCGTTGCGGCGCCTTGGGGAAGACCCTGAGAGCTGGCCTGGTCTCTTTTGGGGGCGGCAGCACGTTGGACGCTGAGGGTTTGTGAGGTTGGGGAGAAATGGATCTTTGTTCTTAACAATTGTTAATACGACCTTTGAGAGGGGGCGATTTTGCATTGAATTATTTGTCTTTGGCTGAGGTTGTGGCTCAGTGGTAGCGCGCTTGCCTAGCATGTTCGAGGCCCTGGGTTCGATTCTCAGCACCACATAAAAAAAGTGAACAAAGATATTGTGTCCATCTACAGCTAAAAAACATTTATAAAAATAATACATGTCTTGAGCTATAAAACAAATGTTGAATTATAGCAAAGTATAAAGAAATAGTCTTCCTTCCATACAGACTTAAGTACGTGAAAAAATAAATGAGGAAGAGAAATCTCCCAAGTAATTTATGTAGCTACCCCATGCTGAAGCATAACTCCCAACTCCTTAAGTGTGAGCTGTGCATAATGCATAGTGACTTCCTTCCGAAGGGGACAGTGTGAAAATGCAGCAAAAATGAGTAACTTTACAGTGGAGAAACCTGACAGACACTATCACTCTGGTGATCAAGGTTAATGTCAACAGTGCTAAATCATATTGATAGTGTAGGAACTCGATGTGATGAGATTGGCACTTTATGGCACTTACCTTCTATAACCCATAACCCTAACCTAATCACAAGCAGGAAAAAAAAAAAAAAATCAAACCCCAGCAGAGAGAAAGCCTACAGAATGCCTGACCAGCATTTCTCGATATTGTTAAGATCTTCAAAGACAAGAAAAGTCTAAGAAATTGTCACAGCCAAGAGGAGCCTGAGGAGACGTGACAAGTAATTAATTCTACTTTCGATGTGCTGAATTTGCGACTCCCACAGGACAGAAATATGGAAATATTCAACAGGTGTCCACAGCCAGCAACCCTATTTTTTGCTTAAGTGAATATTCTCTCCCACAAATGACATCAGATCCCGTGATGTCAGTTGCCTCCTTGAGGACTGAAGGTTCCCAAATTTCTAGAAATCCAGCTTTGATTTTCTGGTCTCAGCAAGATGCCTCCATTTTATGTGCTCCTCAGCATCTCTGAAATTTATCAATATAAATCTCAGTTTCTACCATAGTTCCTATCAAATCTGCCCCTTCTCCTCTGTTTCCTGTTTGAGAAACTTCACCACCACTATGCAATAAGAAAACTCAAAACCATTTTTTAAATCAATTTATTTGCTCTAATTTGTTATACATGACAGTTGAAGGTATTTTGGTTCACAGTCAAAACCATTTTTAAAAGATTCCTTCTTCTTCCTTATTCCCCTTTATTTAGTTCAATGCTAGACCTAAGCTCATAGATTCCGCTCCTACACCATTACTGCATCCAATCTCTCTCTGGTTTTTGCTCTGCTATTGGCCTCATCTGGTAAGTAACCACTCTTCTAGATGATGCAGCAACCTCAGTGGTCTTTCCATTTCTGTTTGTTTTCAAAAAAGCCATTCTCTACAATAAGCACCCAGTGAGCTTTCTAAACACAGTCTGGATCATGTCCCTTCAACCTTCTTGAATCATGCTTCAGCATGCCATACCACTTGCTGCTTCTTGAACATCCTTGGGATTTGAGGTGATTTAAAGGCTCAGAGCTAATATCACTTCCCTGAAGATTTCCCACTCCTTTGGCAAGCAATCTTCCCCCACCTCCACGGGCCAGAATCTTTACTACAGCACTTTCTTCAATCAACTTTGAATTAGAGGCAACTACATGCAAGTTTGCCTCCCTAATGAAATCACTCATCCAGCAAATATTTACTGAGCACCTACAAATACCTGGCCCAGTGCTGAGCTCTACAGCAAAGCTTCCTCCATTGTACCAGAGGCCCAGCTGTACTATCACCTTCTCACCAGTGCCTGGCACAGTTCTTTGCATGTGGCAGGTGCTCAATAGATTAAAAACTAAGCCGGGCGTGGTGGCACTTGCCTGTTATCCCAGTGGCTGGAGAGGCTGAGGCAGGAGGATTGCAAGTTCAAAGCCAGCCCCAGTAACTTAGTGAGAACCTAAGCAACTCAGCGAGACCCTGTCTCTACATAAAATACAAAAAAAAAAGGGGGGGGGGGCTGGGGATGTGGCTCAGTGGTTAAGCACCCTTGGGTTCAATCCCCAGTATTCACCCACCCCCTCCAAAAATAAACCTAAATGCTTGTTTACTAAATGATGGATCAGGAAATTAAAAGTACTTGCCTCAATCCTAAGAGAAAATTTTCATGAAAGCTCCACCTTCATGGGATATGGAAGCCATGGGCGGAGCTACATAAGAGGATGGAAACAGAGGAAATCTGCAGAGGATTAAGGGAATGGCTCAGAAGGAAGAGGGAAGTTGAAGATAACCACGGTATAAAAGCCAGAGGAGGGAGAGTTTTAAGAAAAAGAAGACCCAAAGAACCACTGGGAATAAATAGTTCGAAGAAAAGGCCACACACTTGGCAATTGAGGAGGTCACTAATGGCGATGAGTGTGAGCCCACTGCAAGCAGGGCCACTGAGGAGGAGGGAGGGGAGAACTGACCAGCTGTGTCTAGAACTGGCTGCATAGCTTCCGGGCCTTCACTGCCTCGTCAATCATATGGGGACAATCGGGTACACACATATCTTTTGATTGGGGATAAAATAATAACTGTAAATAATGTAGCAGAGAATCTGACACAAATGAACTGCCCCCAAATTAATAACAGTTACTGAGAAAAGGAGAAGATTGGAATAGATGAGGCAATCAGTGGAATGTGGAAAAACCCTGCTGAAAAAAAAAATCTGCACATGGGAGGAAATAATAGCTCTCTCTCTCTTCCATCCTCCCCATCATAAAATATTTTTAAGTTAGTTAATAATAAATACAAATTTTCTGTTGATTTATTAGATTCCCTGCACTTGTAACAAACCTAAAGTCCTCTCCATGGTCTCAACAACAAAATGTCTGCCCCCTATCTGCCTCTCATCTTGATCCTCTCCCCATGTTCACAGTATCAGCCCACCAAGGTCTCTTTTTCCAACTTCCTCAGGGCCTTGACATATGCCCTGCACCTCAGAGCATCCTTGAGATCTTGTCTAAAAAGTCACCTTCACAGAGAGACCTTTCCTAATATGATCTCAAGTACTTTCCATCCTATCACCTTGTATCTTAATCCATTCTGTGCTACTATAACAAAATGCCACAGACTAGTTAATGTATAAAGAAGAGAAATTCTTTCTTCACAGTTTTGAAGGCTGGGAAATTCAAGATGAAGTCTCTGGAAGATTGGGTTGTCTTATAAGGCCTACTTGCTGCTTCTAAGATAGTTCCTTGTTGCTGCATCTTCCAGAAAGGGGTCAGAGTGTGTCTCCACGTGGCAGAAGGTGGACTGATGAGTGAGCCAAAAGCTCTGAGCTATAGAAAACCACTCTTCTATGGATTTAATCCCATTCATAAGGGGCATCCTCATGACCTAATCACTTCTTAAATTCTCCACTTCCTAAAACCATCACAGTGGCCATGAAGTTTCAATGCTGGATTTTGAAGGAGACGCATTCAACCCACCTTCCCAATGGCACATATCACAATCCAGCACTGCCTTGACGATTCTTCCACATTTGGACCTCCCACTGTGATGTAGTTTCTTGGTAATAGGGACATTGCTATCCCTACAAAGACCTTTGATGGCCGAGCAGGGTGACACATGCCTGTAATCCCAGCAGCTCAGGAGGCTAAGGCAAGAGGATCATTGAGTTCAAAGCCAGCCTCTGCAACTTAGGCCCTAAGCAACTCAGCGAGACCCTGTGTCTAAATAAAATATTTTTAAAAGGCTGGAGTTGTGGCTCAGTGGTTGAGTGCCCCAGGGTTCAATCCCTGGTACCAAAAAAGAAAGAAAGAACTTTGATCCCTCTGGCACCTGGAAGAGTGCCTGTCACATAGCAGGTGCTCAATAAACATTTGATGAATGAGCTCCTTATTCATCTCCACAGTTTTGTTGTTTTCATTTTCCCCTTTTCCAGGCTCAGCTTTTCTCTAAACGAATCCAAGACATCCTGAAATATTCCCAGAAATTCTTTTCAGCAGCCACTGAAGAGATATTTCTAATAGAAGCAGCATCCATCCATCAGGGAGGGCAGGAATGTTAGCATTTACTTGGAAAAAGAGTGACTCTCAGCAGTGTGCCCTCCTCCCTTGACCTGCACTCTTGGCACCTCCTCTTTGGCTTTATAGGAGACGTCCACGGTAGCAGGGATTAGGGTAGGGGTGTGGAGCACTCATTGACAGCTTTGGTATCGGAAGCAGAGTTCCTCCCTGTGGAGCACATTGTGGAAGGGGCTTTGCTGTGGTCCAGAGCCCGCCAAGGGGCAGGTGGCAGCTGGCAGGTCTGCCACACCCCTGAGACCCATATCTCCCCTCACCCTCTTCCCCTCTTGTTGAATTTTGTTGAAGTAGCATTTATTAAAGGCTTGCCATAGGCCAGGCAGCATGCCAAAGGCTGTGATGTCGGGAGCTGCTCTGGAAGCAAACGCCCTTGAGTCCTGAAGCACCGGGCCCTGACCGATCACTACATCTGTAGTGACTTGGGCATTGTCCCAGCTGGGATAGCAAGGTGTGGCTTCAGGGGTCGGCTACCTGCTGGGGTTGAGTTACACGCACCTCTTCCTTTGTAATCCTACCCCTTGCCTCATTTGAATGTTTGTCCCCAATAAAGGGGTTCATTCCACCTAAAGTCAGAGGAGCCATCATAAGACCCAAAGAAAAA